CAAGCAAGCAAAACCAATATATGATTTATTACTAAGAATCGGCTCGGGCAATTACACAGCCTGAGAAGCTCCACAACCTGCCATGTGCAAGCTAGAGTCCCAGGAAAGCCAATGGTGTGATTCAGTCTGAGTCTGAAGGTCTGAGAAGCAGGAGGGCCAATATGTCAATCCCTGTCCAAGGTCAAGAGAAAATGGGATAAGACATCCCTGCTCAAGCAGCATGGCAGGAAAAAGGGGCAAATTTTTTCTTTCTCCACCTTTTGTGCCATTCGGGCCATCAGTGAATTGGGTGACCCCACTCACATCAAGGAGGGTGATCTCCTTTAATGAGCCATTGATGCCAATGCTAAGCTCACCCAGAAATATCCTCACAGACTCACCCAGAAGCCCACTCATGGTGCCACATGAAATGAACTATTACATGAATTAAAATAGTTTGCAAGGCATTTGCAACAGAGGAGCCAAATCTAACCTCTTCATGTGTATGCATTGTTCCATGGTACTATTACCTTTAATTCATGCATATTTTCAAAAGAAACTTTAATATCTATTATTTAGACCATACATGAAAAGAGCTAGAATGATGCTTTGTATTGAATATAGGCCTATTTTTTGCTGGTTGTATTTTGAGTTCAAAGCTGAGAGAAACATTGCAAGAGGCTGTACTCTTGTTCCCAAGTATTCCTATCTCACTTGCCTTACCACCCATTTGCCACCCCTCTGCCACTGAGCCTGATCATGTGACTTCCTCTGCTCAGGGCACATGAGCAGACAGGATGATTGTCAAGTCTGAGTAGAAGCTTAACAGCTGTGGAATGTTTTGGTAATTCACTCTTGCTTTTGCCCCTTGGCATGAGAGAAGCAAATTCCAGATAGGAACTACTCTTTCTTTTTGGGTACTAGAATGAGAAGATATGTGGAAGAGACTTGCAGCTGACCCCCATGGATAATGTGCAACACAGGCAAGAAGCAGCATTGGAGTTTTGCTAATAGAGCATGACTCCCTTCGGTAGGAATGCGCTGTAGTGCTACATGCTCAAGGAAGCTATCAGTGGACTGAATATTCTTGGCTTCTAATATCACTATATTAAAGTATTCATCCTGTATGTTTTTAAAAAATCATTCTTGTAAATTTAAACTGATTTTTAAAAAGATAAGTTTATTTTCTGAAGGAAACCTGTCTTAGACCTATACTAAATTAAATATTGAAAACTAAGAGAAAGAAAAAGTAGATTACATACTTAGGGCCAGAAAAAATTGTACAACCTGACTCTATTTAAAAATAATTCTGAAGATTGGGTTAAGATGGCGAAACTTGCCTTTACCACCCCACTCAAAACTCCCCAAAATATTTTTTTAAAAAATTCAAAAGGAAATTCATAACAGTGCTAGAAAACAATAGTTATATATGGTCAAGAATTTTTTTAAAATCTCTGAAAGAATGCAAAAAGAAGAATCTAAACCCTAAAATATGTGTAGAAGAATCCCCCGTCTACATCCCTCCACCCACAGCAGCCACCAGCTTAGCAAGGCACCCTACACAGCTCTTCTTCCCTCTCCATCTCACTCTTCCCACACACTGGCTTCTGCTTTTTGAGATCATCTCTGAAGTAATCTACTTATACTTCAGTCTTTGTTTACAGGTGCTGACATTGGCGGAACCAAACAGAGACAAGCCCTAATGTCTCCCCAAGATCTAGAGCCTTGCTGCTACCTTCCTCATCACATTCTTCTGACTTTGTCCCCCTCATTCTCTCTCCGTATTCCACCTATCATAGTCACAATTAAACTCAGCACCATTGTCTTAAACCTGTCTTTCTAACTTCTCACTCACCCAGGCACAAAACTTCAGGTTCATCTTTGCCCTTCTTCTACCATGTCTCACATATCCACTTCATTTCAAGTCGTCATTTGAACTTTTCAAGTTAGTTCTGGTTCTTCCCACATCCTGCCTATTCTGCCACCTTATTTAAGGTCTCATCACCTCCTACACAGATACTATAAAAGGTTGCTGATGAATAGCCAAAGTTCCCTTCTCTCCTCTCTATAATTTATCATCTAATCTTCTAGAAGCAAGCTCCAATCATACAGCTACACTAAAAAGGCCCCTGTGACATCAAATGTCTATACCACAAAATAAAGCTCTCTTGATTTCAACTGCCTTTACCCATAACTCAAAAGTCTTCCCAACTGAACCATTCACCATTCACTCTAAAAGTACTCTTTTTCCCTACCCTATGCCTTTTCTCACTCCATTCTCTAAACCTGGAAAACTCTTGAACAATTTTTCATCATATTTAAATTCTACCTTGGGCCAAATGCCATTTCTTCCATGAAGCCTTCCTTGATTATCCCAAATGAAACTACCTCTTATCTGATCTTCTGTAAAGCTTAAACCATTGAGACTCTTATCACTTTATTTTTAGAGTAAAACTTACATTAAAGTGGATAAATATTTAATGATGAAGTTGCACACATCTATCACCCTTGTAATCCTCCACCCAGGTCTAAATATTACCAGCCATCTCAGAAGGTTTCTTTCATGTCCATTTTGGTCAAAATTCCTCTCTAGGAGAAATCTCTTTTCTGACTCACCATTGATTAGTTTTGAACTTCACATAAACACAGTCATACAACAGTATGCACTCCCTTGTATGTGGCTTCTTCCATCCAACACTGTTTCTTGGGGATTCAACTAAATTGTGCATACCTGTTCTGTGTTCTTGTCTCATTACAGGCTAACACTTTACTCCACTGTATAACTAGCTCACATGTAACCATTCTGCAGTAGATGAAGACTTTCTAGTGTATTGGCTAGTCCAAGCAAGGATTCTATAGACATTTTTGTGTATCTGTTGTTGGATATCAGCATCCATTTCTACTCCTAGTAATAGAATTGCTGGGTCATTATATATTTAGCTTATGGAGTACTGTCAAATATTTCTCCAAAGTGATTATAAAAATATGCATACATCCTACAAATAATGTAATAAAATTCTAATTGCTTTCCATCCTTGCCAACCCTTATTTTCAGAGGTTTTTTAGCCTGTCTGACAGCTGTGCCCTCATTTCTATATTAAATTATAATCATATGCATCACAGAGTTTAACAGTTTATAAACTTTCTAGATCTATGATATCTTGATGCATATTCCAAATAGTAAGCAGGGAAAGTCCTATTTTACAGTTAAGGAAAGAAAGACTCAGAGAGGTTGAACAGCATGTCCAAGGAGGGGGAGATACTAAATTTTGTACATCCATGGGGCTTATAGCTATGTGAGTATGAGTTATCTCTGCTAGTTTATTAATAGTTCTCTTAGGTTAGTACTTTTTTATCTATCAATATTTAGTGAATAAATGAATGCACCTGAATATAAAATTGATATTTCCCTATCTATACATAAAAATTTTATAATTGGTTATAACAACATAATGAATAAGAGGAACCATCATTTGTTATCTGAATCATGAAGGACAGTATTTCAGATGCACAAATATACAAACATTTAGTACCATTCAATGATTTTTCTTTGAATGTTAAAGGATTTTTTTAAAAATCAAAATCTTCCTTTTGAAGGTCATTTTAAATTCATTTATTTTGGCCAGGCATGGTAGCTCACACCTGCAATCCCAGCACGTGGTAGGCTGAGGAAGGAGGATCACCGTGAGTTCGAGGCCAGCCTGAGCTACATAGTAAATTCAAGGCCAGTCTGAACTGCATAGCAAGACCCTGTCTTAAAAACCAGAAAAACAAAATTCATTTATTTTAACAATCATTAAGTATTCTAAAGAACATCAAAAGTATTTGAGTTCTTAATCAGATTTCAGTTTTATATTTTGTGCACAGAATACCATAGTTGACAACTTTATGCATTTTTGAGTTGTTTTCGTTATATAATAAGCTAGCAGTATTCCAAGAAGTAGTAAATAAAATAAAAGAAATGCCAACATAGCTATATTTACGGGGAAGCTTTACAATCAGCAGCTTTGGGTAATTTATTTAAAAACTACTTGATATTCCTTTATCACTATCTCTTATGATAGGTTGGCATCATTCTAAAGATTGATAGGAGATGGCAATGAACCAGTAGCTATATATATCATCAAGCATGTGTTTCAGAACATACAGGGCAAATTATAGGATAATACAATTACTTTTTATACTATCAGAAACCACAAATGACACATTTAAGTGAAGTAACATCCAGAGAAAGTCAAACCTTGCTGTACAAATTACCATTTTTGTTCCAGAATATTACTACATGTTATACCATTCACAAGGTAAGAGCTACCTCCTTTATCTGTGAATATTCACCTTTTAAAATGTATGCATATAACTTTATAGATCTATAAAACATTTAACATCTAAAACATCTTATTTTTGACCATAGAAAAATAATAAAAAGTTTTAAAATACATTGTTGAGGCATAGATTACAGACAATAATTATATAAAACTAAAACTCATAAAACATACTTTGGCTTCTTTTAACAGCTAATTCACATCAAAATTGACTTTTTGTTTGAAAAATTTATCTTTGTGATGTCAAAGAATATCTTCCACCTCAATAACTCAGCTAATATTGAGATGTAAACCTAGATAATTGTGCACTGACACATTCCAAGGTGACCACTTAACTTATTTTTGCTGTATCAAGGTATTTATAATTAAGCCTGCTATAAGATACAATAAATTCATGGCCTGCTAAAGCTATCAGAGAATCACTTGTAATTCACAGGAGATGATCAGATATAAGAGAATACAAATTTCAGTATTATATTCAGAGGCAACTTGATTTCTAGAACAAAAGAGAAATTATTCAAGTAAATCCCCAGACATAATACTGTAAGTTTCCTCAAGAAAAAAACCACATTGATATATAACTATAGCTACTGAACTTTTAAATTTGTTTGCTTTCAAAATGACAAAAAATAATCATTTTTCAAGTTTAGATATGACTGTTAAAAATATGCCCTGCCCCAAATAGCAAAATGAACATACCTTTCATGCATATAGTCAACTCCTAGCAACAACTGTATAAACCATTCTATTATTTGATTTTCTGTAAAAATTTTCCCAGCTTCTTTATATTGCTGAATCTTACAGTCCAGATCACGGCCCTGAAATGAGATAGCATAATCTTTCATATTTTATTCAATTAAAGTTTTAAAAGCAAGCTCTCTTAACAATAGTTAATACATAGCAGTCACTGTGTATGATAAGAAAGCAAGGGTTATTACCACTCTGTAACTATCACTGACAAAAGATTCTTTCCTCAGCCAAACTCTAGCCAGGCTTCTCTGAGCCTTCTTCTCAACTAGGCCTCAACCATGACCTCAGAAGACTTGAACAAACACTAACATAGTTGCCAGCAGTTCCAGGCCCCATTCCTAAAATGATGGAAGTCCCCATCCTTAGAATGCCTGCCCAAGAAAATACAAAGCTGCCATAAGAATTTAATTTTAGGTGGACATGGTAGCTAACGTCTATAATTTCAACAGTTAAAGAGGCTGAGGCAGAGTGATTGTAAGTTCAGCCCAGCCTGGAAACTTAGCAATTCAGTAAGATCTTGTCTCAAAATTTAAGAAAATAAATAAATAAAAGGGCTGGAGATGTAGCTCATCATCAAGCCCCTGGGTTCAATCCACAGTACTACAGGAAAGAAGAAGGAGGAAGAGGAGGAGGAAGAAGAAGAAGAATTTATTATTCCAGCCAATACCAAAAGATAAGGCCCTTGTCTCCTTGCCTTCAAAGAAAGGCAGAAGTTTAATTTTGATAAACACATCACAAATCCAATGGGTTTCACATGAACCAACTTCCATTTCCCAATTTCTGTAATTTTTTACTTCCCTGACCATGCTGCCCCGACCCACCCTAGGCCCATCCTTCCAAAACTCCCAGTCAGCTCTGCACAAAGTGGAATGGAACTCAACTCTTAACCCTGTTGTTATTTTTTACTGAATAAAATCTGCTTTAACTGCTTTAAATGTCTGGCTGTATTTGTCTTTCACATCACTCAAGAGCAACTCCTTCTAAAGAAAATAAATTAACCTGCACACTTCCAACCAAAATTACTTTGATTGTTACCTAAAAATGTGCACATATAAACTTTAAAAGTCTAAATGGAATACTAACATGTATACATGTTAAAATATAAGCCAATAAAATTAAAACCAGTGATATTAATTTAATGAAGTCATATTTTAGTGAAACTAAATTCATGCTTCCACAGTGCATTCAGCATTGATGGCAATTGTATATATTCTTTAGCATTTTATATGCCCAGACTACCATGTACCTTGGGAGGACTAAATTCTCCTTTTCTCTAATGACAGCAAAACTTGCAGGAATACAACAACTGTTGATCTATGCTAGGTCCCAAACACATCCTTTAATTATTTAGTCAGTCTTTGTCCTATAACTCACTGGTGAGAGGTAAAATAATAATATTTATTTTTAATGCCCAAAACTAACCATGGTCCAAATGACAAATATCTGAAATTGCACAGTGGTCTCTGATATAATACCTTTCTGACTGTGGTTGTATTAATGTTCTTTAACTACCATAGAAATGAAAACAATGCTAAATTCTCACAGAGAACTTTTATATACATTGTATTAATATATAATCCTCTGTATCTTAAATGTCTGAAAAACTAGAGATAATTTGAGAAGTGTTCTCTGAAGAAAAGGGTAGGTTAAACGCAACTTAGTTTGGTTTTTACAAGATGGAAAGCATGGGTCTTTAGAGGGCGGGATACTTGCCATGACCACCAGTACTGGAGCCCCCTGCAGTGGGCTCTGATCTCCTACTCAGTGCTACATTGCAAGGTGAGAAGAAAGACACAGAAAAAGAGTTAAAGGACAGATAAGGAAAGCCAGGATGTTCAGTGCTTGGGCAGTAAGAGGCATGAGCAAACAAAGGCCCTGAAAACCCAGAGCTGTCAATATTTATTGGTGACATCACAGTTAGTTTGAGGTAAAGGGGCTATGTGGAGGGACTATGTGGAGTTGCTATGGATATGCTGCTGATGCAAGGAAGGCATGTAAAGGAAGAGACAAGGTATTCTTGAATTAGGAACAGAGCAGACAAAATATAGGTTGTGGCTAATAATGTCATTTTTAAATTGTGTTATTTGAAGAAATATGAAATTCTGTACTTTTCCCATCAGCTATTGTATTATCTTCTTTGAGAGTAAGAAGAATTGTTTCCTGTGTATAGTCTTGCCACAGTGACAGTATACTCTCTGGGTGACATTTATTGTTGCTTTGTCAATCACCGCTTTTTTTTCCCATTAAGTTTATTGGTACATTTTAGTTATAAAATACAGTTACATTCATCATTGGAATCTGGTACCTTTACATGAGTATCTTGGTTCTTATTTTTTCCCCTTTCCCCTGCCCTCCGTTCACCCCCTCCACTCTTCCCTATTTGCAAAGATTTGTTTCCATTTTTTTCCTTTTCTCATATTTTTTCTTTTCCCTTTTTTTCTTTCCCCTACCCCTCCCACTTCCCCTGCACCTTTAGACCTTTTCTTCCTGTTACACAATATCAATTATATATTTTTAAATTA